AACACAACGGAGATCTAGTCCTATTGGCAGACATCCATTTAAAATGTAGGCAACGGCATGAAAAAAGTGGTTTCTACTTTTACTTTTATACTTTAAGGAAATTTACAAGCCTGTACTTTGTTACTTTTACTTGAGTAAAGAAGTTTAATCAGTACTTCCACTTTTACCAGAGCATTTTTTAACTCAAGTATCTGTACTTTTACTCAAGTACGGAAAGTGAGTACTTTTGCCATCTCTGCTTATAAGGCAGTATCTGCGCGGTAATTATGCAGATTTACGTTTGTCAGGATGGCGTGCTCTCTTAAGCACAGGCGGACTGCATCACGTTTAGGAGGATTGTTTGTTAAATCTTTCGCGTCGTATTCTTAAAAACCCACTGTAGGAGAAAAGAGAAATTTACGATAAGAATAAGAAGATGTTGTTGCATCAGGCCCAAGGTTTCCAACATTCTTCAGTCGTCGCTGGGGGCCATCAAAACTCTGTAAATGGCCCCCAACATGATCCTGTTTAAGAGATCTAGATCTAGAGCGTCACAGAGCGCCAACGGAAGCTGAACGCTTCATGACGGCGTCGTACATCGTACCTTTGGCCACCACGGTCAGGTGCACCACCTTGTTGATATCGTCGTGGTACTCGTCGTTGGTATAGATGAGGGTGCGGTACAGGAAGCACTGGTAGGTGCCCGAGTCGTTGAAGGTGACGTTGAACAGGTAGATGGAAGCATCCTGGATGTCGTTGCTTCTCTTGCTGCCGTTCCAGTCGATGCGGTCCATGAACTGATCGTGCTCGATAGAGGGGCCGTTCTCATTGTAGGTGTAGATCTGGGGGTTCAGCACAGGTGGAGGTTCATCAGCATCAAACTGATCCAGATATGACAAACATCCGGAGCCACGGTCAGGTTTCTACCTCAGGTTTCCTCCCCAAAATACCTCCAAAACCTGCTCAGTTTATTAACCCCAACCATCAATCTTAGCAGGATTTTTCACTTTTCCCATGTTTAAACAGAAGCCTATTAATGTTCTGTATTTTTAAAATACTCAGGGGCAGATTTAGGGAAATCTGGGGTCCTGGGCAAAGGCAGGAACATAGAACAGCCCCATTCTCC